TATTAAAAATTTCTCATCCTTGCTTGGAAACAATAGCATTAACCTTGATATTTAATGACTTGATCACAAATGTTTTATTGTTTTCTCTAGTTTGATGGGTAAATATTTATCATTAACAAAAGTAAATTACAACTATATGAGTAACTAAACTAAAAGAATTCATTAACTATAATAAGAATAATCAATTTCACATAGAAAAAAACAAACTTTTTCAAGCTGTTTTCAAAATAATATTCTCGTTAGATGTAATTTCTTTCGCATCTTGCATTGTTTGTTGAAACTTTGTGTGAATTTCATACTCCTCAGTCGATACAAACAACAAAAACAAAAACTGAATATATTTGCTATCAATAGACATTTTCGTATTATCATATTTCTACGCCTGATACTAAAAATGGAACCTTTTGTACTGTCCACCGAGAAGATTGACCATGTTCGGGTCAAATTATCACTCTCACTACCAAACTAACAAATTTAAAATATAACATGTCCATAGAAAGCTTGGACCGACAGATTCGATTTTTAAGGCAGTATATTTTTAGAATCTCGTTGAAATTTATCGATCACAATAGGAGGGTGTGGATGTCGGTGTCAGGTGGTGTGCGGATAGGTTTGGATCTACCTCTTCTCTTCAAACACACCCACACCTAAGGTCATTGATCCTAAAATCCAAGTCTATTTTAGATTTTTGTTGCACTCCTACTTGTAAGTTGTTAGTTGGCGCGCAGCAAATGAGATTCAAATAGGAGTACAAGAAATCTAGAGTATATTTGACGTCTAAAATCGTGAAATATGGGGTTTTATTCGTGTTTGTTTTTGGAGTTTAAGTTTAAGTTTAGACTTAGATTTCACAGTTTGGGTTCGGGTTTGAATTTGAAGAATGGATTTACTTTTGAACTAAATCTGCAATAATAGTTGTGAATTTTATCCCAAATCCCAAAATCATCTATTGACTGTGTCACACCACTAGTAAAGTAGGTTGTTGTTGATGTTGCCTCATCTTACTAAATCTCAAGGCTTTGAGTTTGTTGCACTCCTAGGTTCAAATATGGGTATCGTAGATACTAATGGTTGAGGTGTGTTCTTTCTTCAACTACGTTCCACATTCCCTACTTGTTGTTCCCTGAACCTTCACTATATGCATTCTTCTTTAGGCTTTCGTGAATTCTCAACATCTAAAACTATTTTCGAATTCAGTATTTCATAAATCATGATAACTTTTTTCTCTACGGTTTCTAGAAATTCGCAGAGCCGATACGGATCTTCAATCATACAGTTCGTTTTAAAGCGCACAAACACTATTACCTCCGCCTTTATTCTATATTTATTCAAAAACATGAAACTTTAAAAAAAACATACAGAGTGGTTCAAAAGTGGCTTTACTGATGAAATCAAAAGTCTCTATCATACTTTGACCAGATGAGTTAATTCTTTTACGATTGACAAGAGAATATTGATAGACCATGTTCAAAAGAAGACAATTGACAAATGCTGCTTCGAAATATAATTATTAATCTCAATAAAGAATAGTAACCGTTCACGGCTTATGAAAAAGCAATATAATGGTTTCTTTAGCAAAAAAATAAGATAGACGTTTTTTTTCTATGTGATTCTTCATAGAAGTGTCTTTTGATGTGAAATTTTTACCATAAATACATGTCTTGTTACTCATTATATCCTAAAATTCTCGGCTATAAACAGTAAAAAATTGTCACGATAACTGCAATATATTTTTTCCATAAGTCGTAGAAAGTTGTTTTGTTATGAACATGATCTATGAACACTCTGTCATCAGTGATAATAAAATTAGCCCATAAATTTTAGGACCACTCTGTATTTCCCATCGGTTATTGCCGCTATGTCTTATATAAATTCATCTCTTTTTCTTCTCTTCAGCTACATCTAAGAAAAGAGAAAGAGCTAGTTGTACAATGTTTTCTTTTCAGAATAATCATGTACTCATTGGATGTCTACTTACGCCGTTTTATTCTCCTATCTCAAGGATATCCTGAAAGAACAGATTTCTTTTCTTTCTTTCATATCACGTGTACACATACTTATTTGCCTTTTATCCTGTAGTGTTGAGTTCGTCGTTATTTCGATATTAAAGTTTTTATTTTCTCATTTCCATATTTGATACTGAGAGAAGTACATATATCAGTACTCCTCGTGGGATAAGATGAGATAGAATGGGATGCGATACTTTAAAAAGTCTCACATCTCATCCAGTTCCGTCTAAACTCATGTTCGTCAATTGGTTTTTGAAAAAGTGTAATTCAGTGGTGCACTCATCATTTTGACTAATTATACAAAATATTAATATGCAGCGATAGTGAAAAAAATGCTATATTTTTCTATGATATTGGATCCTTTTTTAACTAATATCATAATAGTGAAATTTCGATAAGAGCTGTTGGTTATAATATCTGACGATAAAATTAGATCATGTTGTCTTCGATGTATATTCTCCTTTTATTCTTCTCCTTGTAAATGTTGATAATCTCTTTTGTCACGCTCACACCCATACCCTACTTCGAAATAGACAAGAACGCAATATATACGACCAAAATAGTTACATCTTTTCTTATAAAAAAATATTTCTATAAGTGGTTGTTTGTCTCATGAGACGGATGAGATAGGATACGACGCAAATACTTGGATAAACGTCTCATGGAATGGTATGACACATATATCAAAATATTTACATCGTATCTTGTCCCAAGGAATAAGAATTTTCTATCCAACGCGAAGCTCTGACATGTATATAAATATCATTTGCACTCCATAGACATAGATGTACACAGCTGCAAATATTCATATGAAAATTTTTGTAATGCTGTTAACAGAGGTAAGTTTGAATATGATTTTCTTCTTGTGTCTCTTATAATCGATATTCATCATATTAGAATACATGGAAAAAAACTATAAAGGACATTAGATAAGTCCAGTGTTTTAATATCAATATGTATTAGTACCTTCCATACTAACAAGAAATTTATTAAATCCAAACCGTTTGGAAGTTGGGTTTTAGTATAATTCCGTCTGTCTCATGTCGCTTGTTTATATTCAAAATATGACTTCTGTGTAAATATAAGCAAAAAAACATATTTCTATTCTTTACATAGTCTAGTACCAAAGTCAAATTAGTTGATAAACATAAGTATTCGACTAATATTACATTTTCGTCTCGTATTCACTTTTTCGAGATGCTTTTCTAGGATTTTGATGTAAATTCTGATAGTTCCTTTGACATCAAATTGATGACTCTTTAAAGAAATTGTTCATAGAGATAAGAGTATTTTCTGACTTTAGTTTTCATTCAAAAACGCTATTTCAGTGAGCGTCAGAATTTATTTTAAACGTAATGGATGATATAAAATCCTCGACAAATTAGAAGGATGGAGTCTGAGTTATCCTTTCACGACCACTGGCAGACACAGATACTCTCACTCTAGCGAAATCAATTAGTAAACATTATTAAGTATGTATGTCTCATAATGAAATTTATATTATTGCGTTTTGTCTTTTTGTTACCATCAACATCATTTCGATCTTGATTATGATCTTCTCTTATTTACAATAAAACTTATCAGAAAAAAAGACAATTATCTAGTATTTATTCAAACAAAAAACATGTTCTTTTTACATAAAATATATTGGATTCATACTTTTGCGTCTAAGGCAATCTTTTCAAAAAAATATTGTACTCTATTTGAAATGACTTACACGATCGGTTTAAATTTCATATTTTCATGTCATTGCTGATTGATAGAATTTCATTCATGACACAACGATTCCATTTCATATAAGCACGAAGAAAATGATCAACTTTTTTGTTCATTTTATTGTTCGTCTCTATTCATTCAAGTTTAAAAATGAGAATAACAAACAACTTTAGAAACAGATATAACAAAAATTTCTGAAATTTTATAAAAAAAAAATTGATATTTCAGACTAAGAAACAATCATTGAGCCAAAATTAAATCATCACTTTCTTTTGTTATAAGTTATTTTATATAAGGGTCTGGTTGTGTGTAGTTGGAAGAATTGGCGAGATTGTGGACGAGAATAGGATCAACACCTGCGGTCACACCAAACCTACTAACACACTCAAGTAGATTTTGTCAATTTCATCGAATTTGATTTATGGCAACAGTGAATCACCTAAACAACAATATATTGATATGCACTCATGGAGCGAAAGTAATTCAATAGGAGAGTGGGAAAGAGTAAAAAAATTCTAAAGTTAATTTACACACAAGAGGAAAATGTATAGCAACCATAACGTGCCGTTTTATGAATGTGTTATAGTCTGTCTGCTAACCATTCATTCATCGATTCATTTTGTGCATATAGGCACATCTAACCAACTCAGTTGAATCTAATGAGTTTAAATATTTTCGTAGGTGTTATTTTTTCTAGATTATTTCTCGATTACTTACTGGTCAAGAACATGCCAAGAGATCAATCGATGATAGAGTAATATAATAATAGCTGTCGCTAATTCAAATGGAACTGAAAAACAGTAATTATTCAATGCTACAAAGAAAAAAACAAATGCGCTGAAAATTTAATTCGGACCACGTTTATCGACACGTGTTGCATTGAAATGTGTACTATTTATATAATGTCATAATTTCTTTCAGCCACTGATGCTATTAGGTGACATGAATAATGATATTCAAGTAATGTCACAACAATGAGACCGTTGTCTTTTTTTCTATCTCTCTTCCGATGACTTTTTTATTATCTGATTTCGGTTGGTTATATATATATATTAACTTGATGCACCCATGCGGCATGCAAGCTAAGAGATGCGAGAGAAGGATATCTTTGTTTTCAATTTATGTGTGGTCATAGAAAAAAAAATGAACCGATAATTTGTCTTGATTTTTTTTTCTTCATTCTCGAGTCATTTTTATTTCAAAACAGCACAGCGAAGAGATACAAGATATCAATAGTAGAAAGAAAATTTACCCTTTCATTTCAGATAAATGAAAATGTTACATATTCTCTGCTTTTATTTATTGATTGCTGTTAGTAGCGGAATAAATTATGATTTTTTATTGGCCAATGGACCAACACATATAAGTTCAAATGATACATATTATTTTCCATATGGTGACCCAAAATACGACATAAAATTTAAATTATTACAAGTGGATCCTTATACCGGTTTATGGATAGTATTATTGCATGGTGAACCTGGTAGTGTGTTAGGCATACATCGTCATTATGATCAGGTATATGGTTATACACTAAAAGGAGCGTGGGGTTATTTTGAACATCCTGAATGGTTATCAAAACCGGGAGATATTGTACATGAAACTCCAGGATCAGTTCACACATTATATATTCATCAAGATTATGGTGATACTGAAGCATTATTTTTTGTATGGGGTGCATTAGAATATTTAGATGAATACGGCAATAAAATTTATATTGAAGATTGGCAATCAATATCGCAAAAATATGTTGACTACTGTGAAAAAAATAATTTACCAATTGTCGATGTTACTTATCCGAAGCAAAAAGCTCCCGAAATAACATTTAAAGAAAAAATCAGCAAAAATGAATTATAATCAATGATCATATGTATCAGTTTGGTAAAACTCTAATTTTTTATTTTTTTAATTACTTTGCAGTGTAACTAATTTGATCATTTTCGTTTGTAGATTTATATTTTTAAATAAAGTTTCCCTTGCTGATTGTAAGATGCGTTGTCAATTTTTCACTAAGTTCCGTTGTATTCACTGTATATGATTCTGAAAAATGGTTTGCAGCATCGTCGAACTTGTACATTGCTGGCAATTTTCCGATTTCTATCCAGCAATAGTTTCGAAATCAATGAAAAGTATGCAACAGGGCCAATATTGTCAAGTACAGCACATGTGTCTATCCCAGAGATTTTGAAGGTCATTCAAAAGTTTTTCCGAAGTCTGACATAAAAAGAGAATATATTCTATGAACTTGTAGTGAAAACCAATCCAAAATCATATTTTAATTCTGTTCGACTATAGGTGAAATCTAGTTGTAAAACATGAATCCACATTGTTCTCGAACGTGATCAGAATTGGACATAGCTGGTTTGTGGTAGGCGATGGTGAGTGTAAGATCTACACCTGCTCTTCTGTATGTGAATGAATTTGAGTGTGATTATGAATGAAAAGAAGGTACAAACCTGATCACCCTTTCACTCACACCCACATTCATCATTGTATTGATCTATGTGAAATGTCAAAATATTGTTGTAGTCGCTGCACATGCTGGTCATATTTAATCACGTAGGATTGAATCCTTCACTTATGCTTACTAAGTGATTAGATTGGTTTGTACAGACAAATCAAACTTTCTAAGGATTTTCGGTAGAAAATGAGATGCGAGAGAGCAGAAGCCACAGAAAGTTAATTAATTTTTTGTTTTTCCTCCTTTGAAACGGATTTCTTCACTGAAAAAGTTCGTTTTTTCTTTGTTCCAAGTGTATAAAATGCAGACTTATCTAGTAGCGTCTTATGCCTGTTGATCGAGGATAAGTCTTTAGAACACATGTTATTTTCTGGAGTAGCAGAACATTTACAGCCTGTGTCAAAGAAGCATCTCGACATACTTTTTCATAATTTTTAGCGGAAGAGGTACTTAATAAACGAAAGATCTTGATGGAAGACGCCTATGGAATGCGTCAATTTTGACTCTCACTTTCACGCTCAGTGCATCAGGCACGACTAGCTGTGTTTTAATTCGTGTCGATATAATCGTGATGAAATGATAAAAGCGAAGAGAGTAGTCATACTTACTTATCAATAGAATATGACCTACAGATGTTATCTCAATCTAACTTACACATAAAAGTGATGCAAATAAACAACGTTGCATCAACTTTTTCTGTTCGACTGTCCTCTCGATTTATAAAATAACATTATTGACTTCGTCGACGATAAATGGAATCTACAAACGCACAACATCTCTTGACCGGTAAACATATAATTGTCGTTGGGGCAGGTATCGGCGGGCTTACATTTTGCCTTGCTTTACAAAAATTTCTCGAGAGAAGTGATCATAATATTGATTCACTACCACGTGTCGTTGTGTATGAATGTGATACATCAATAGATGTCATTGGCGGAGAGGACTCTTCACTCTCAATCCATGGCGATCCGCTAAGTGGAGGACTGCAAACTCTTCACAAACTGGATATGCTCGACGAGATGCTTACTGAGAGTAATCCAGCCACATAATTCACTATTTTCAACACTGATTTTTCTCCATTAATGGAATTCCGATCGCCATCTATTGAAGGTCTTCCACGATCAAATATACACATCACACGTTCCAAGCTGCACGAAATTTTTGTCAAACATATACCTTCTTCGACCACTGTACAAGAGCTTGAAGATGGCAAAATCCTAGTTGATTTGATGAACGGTCGTCAAGAGCAGTGCGATATACTCATTGTCGCTGATGGATCGAATAGTAAAGTGCGATGAGCTCTTCGACCACAGCATGAAGTTAGGTTTGCCGGTGCAGTTTCTATTGGTTCACGTACTGGTACTGTAGACAAAATACCACCTCCACTAGACGTGACATGGGGTGGGGCACTTGGTGACGATGGGAATTTTGTTTTCATTGCACTGAACGATCGAACAAGTGCACTATGGAGTGTTAGCTATCTGTCTGATACATCTCGAGAAGTCAAGCCTGCGGGAACGTTGAGCGAATCCGAGATTGATGATTTACTAGCCGAAGCTCAGAAGCGTACAAAGCAGTACGGTGAGCCGATGCCAACATTACTCAAAGAGACGTTATGCAGCAGTATTTTTGTGTTCAACTCCAACGATATGATTCATTTCAGAAATCAAGGTTTGATCATCTTCATCGGTGATGCTCAGCATGTGACGAATCCGTTTGCAGGAAACGCAGCCAATTTGGCTATTTTGGATGGCTACCAGCTAGCCGAGAAATTAATTGTGGCCAAGAATTTGCAAGAAGTAATTCAAGCTTACGATGATATAAGTATTCCTCGTTCAACGAAGGCGGTTAACGTAAGTCGTCGGAATATTGCGATAGGACATTCGCAGGGTATCCGGCAATTTTTTTGGGTTGCACTATTCAAGATTGCTGGATGGTACTTTGGTTTCATTCGCAGACTTGCAGCACAGCAGCAGCAGTAACACTCAAATAAGCATGTGCAGACTGTTCTTAAGTTCATACATTTGTCCTAGCTTTTCTAAATGCATTTTTGAAATGTATTTATTTATAACTCTTGTCAGTTACTAAATACCGATTCTTTTGATCGTAATGAAGAGAAATATGCATTTTACAAGCGATCGAATTTCATATACACAACAACGACAAATAAACCTTTGTCGGCGAGTTACAGCAATTTTCAATCATCTCAAATTTTTCAATTGATACCGAGCTCAAATCGATCAAAACTGAAAGACACTCAGCTCAACGAATCGGATTTTTTAAAATAAATCTTCATTAAACCGTCAGGAGTTCGATTCGAGCTGGAAACTCAATATCGATCAGTTCGACTCTATTCGTTGACTGTCGACGAAGAATCAGCGGTGCACGTCGTTCAATTAAAAACAACTCATAGATCGCCTCGTCGGGTTACGCCTTGTCGACATTTGAATGGACCAGTATTCTTGATCTTATCAATCGACTGCCTTGTCTTCCAGTGTTGACCTTTCCATTAAAAGATGTTCACTGACATGAAAATGAACTTTCGTCAAACAAGCATGAACTCGTCGAGTGATTACAAAAGTGACTGCTATAGACGTCCTCGGTTCAATCAGAGCAATTGACTACAAATAACTAATGTGTAAACGTTCATTTTCAAAGGTGCCTATATGTAATCAACAACGCCAGAAGACAGTGAAAAGTGTCACTATTTCTTCGTGTGTCATAATACAAACTTTGCAGTTGATAATATAAATGGTAGATCATGTCTAAAGCGTGTTTCCTATGCACATATCCTACTTCTTTTGTTAAATTCCATAGAATTAAACAAAAACCATAAGAAAATGAGATTTATACTAAAATGAACAAGATTTGATGATTAAAAAATTTCACATCAGAATCTGTGTTCGTATTTTTTGTTTTGTTGTAGTTTAAGTATACGAAAACGTTCGTTTATTCGTATGTTTTTTAATTCCAAGAGTCAGAATTTGGACATGTTCCATAAAATCGTACGAATATCGAAAACAATGCGTCGTGAATCAAAACTTATTAACAGATTCCTATTCAAAAAATCATTGAAAGTGATCACCCCCGGTGATAACTGCTTGAAAGCGACACTTGAATCTTCCAACCACTTTGAATAGAGTATAGTGAAAATAGTCGTTTTTGTCCATTGTGATATCAATTGGAGAGAAAAGAGAAAAAAGAACTCGAATGTGAATCATTATAGAAATAACAAATACAACCGAAAAAAACATGCTATAAAGTAAAGTAATTGAGCCACAGGACGAAAAGGTCGTATATGTCTCAATCGTTAGGCAATATGGATGAAATAGAATGTCTTGAGAACACTGGATTTCATAACGATCAAATAACTTCGATATCTCCCATATGTTCGACCGCGATCAAACTGCGATCGCACTGCGACCCGTAATTGCGGAAAATTGCAACGCAGCTACGCGCCACTGCGAATTTTTTACCGTAACTGCGCGCAACTGCGATAATTTTTTCGCATCTACGCGTAACTGCATCGTAGTCGATCGCAGTCGAACACATGGATTTTTTACTGCGATCAATGTGCCACAGTTACGCGCAGTTACGATCAAAATTTCGCAGTTGCGCGTAACTGTGACGCAGTTGTTAAAAAAGTGGCGACATGGGCTGTTTAAAGATATATTGAAAAGAAAAAATCACCCATTACTTATGCCTCTTTTACTGTCAAAGTTCGGTGAACATTCTTGAATCAAGAAAAATACACTGTTTTCAACTGTAATAGCGCAGATGCGATGTGCTCGAGACTAGATGAGGATCTGCAATGCATTCAGAGCCGTATTCATATCTCAATATTTTATTTTTATTATTCATCATTTTTTTCTTGCTTTCTTTCTCTTCCGTATGAATAACTGAGATTGTTTTTTTTCTTTCCTTCATGGTTTCTTTTTCACAATTTATTCTCTTCTCTCAAGATCATTACGGTTTTTGTTGATTCAAATCAAGAAAACAACCAATAGTACTGAAAGTCACCATCTTTGTTTATTCTCTGCTTCCTTGGTCTTTCTTTTTCTTTTTGCACGTTTGATTCTGTGTGCATACATGTGTGCACAGCATTATTGATCCGAATTGAAGACAGCTTTACTCACCTCTATTTTTTGTTTTATCTCTACAGATCTGCGTTTATGTTCGATCGCCATTAATAATAGTTAAGAAAAAAAAACAATTATATGTTTATGCCGTCGATTATATTCTCTCTTCTACTATTATTGACGACTAATCTTATTTTGCGGCCAAGTACATGTACGTTGCCAGCAAATCTGCAAAATCTCAATCTTGTTGATGTTAATTCAGTATGGGAGAAATTTCCCACGATAATCAGCCAAATCAAAGAAGCCGGTATGTGTCA